ACACGACCGGGGAACCCCCTCCCCTCCTCCTTCTCTGGGGAACCGGGACAGCCCGGAGGAGCCGCTTCTCCGAGTGCCTGAGGAGCTGAGCCCTACCTGCCCCCCCCTCCCTCCCCGAGAAGTGCCGCCGGATTCAGGGGCGCAGCTCTAGGCCAGGTTAAGCTGAGCTTACGCGAACTGCCGCCCAGGGATGAACTGGGGAAGGGGGGGGGGGGCGGCCCAGCCGGTACCGGTACCACAGAGAGCACAGCCCCCACCGCGATCGTCCGAAATACTGGGAACCGTGGCGGTGTCGGTGGAAAAAATCCCGGGCTGCTGGAGATGCTCAGCTTACCCCAGCAGCCGGCTGGGTCCTGCCCGGGTGGGTGTGCAAACAGCCCGGGGATGAACGTGGCTCAAAACCAACGATTTCGAACTAGCAGAGACAAACTTAGTTTAGGCCAGCATTTGACCACAGTCTAATTTACTAATCCACGCAGAACAGACCTCAGAAAAGGTCCTGCAAAAGTCCTGTAACAAACACACGCAGAAGGTGATCTGTGATGGGTGTCATCAGCAGAGCAAAAGGAAAACTTTGTATCAGCCAAACACTTTTTCTTCTTTTCTTTTTTTTTTTATTACAGTTTGAAGATACACTAAAACTTCAAATGGGCATGCACATCACAGATCGCATCACCAAGAAGAGCTCCGTGACCTCATCCCTGGACTATCTGGAAACAGTAAGATTTTACAAAAGAATTTAAAAAGTGCCAAAACAACATTTACGTCCTACACGCAGTGATGCTCTTTGTCCGGTAGATCTACGCACTGTATTGGCTTCTTCCCTCCAATTGCAACTGGGGCTATCTAAGATTTCTTCTCAAAGGTCCTTCCTCAGGACCTGGCAGGTTTCTCAGGGTGCTGTGGAGCTCCCCAATGCCCAGCAGCTCACTAAAGAGGTGGAAGTCTACTATGGAATACTGTCCTCACCTACAACCCCATCATATATGCAGATTTCTGTTTTTTCCAGTAATATAGTGAATAAGAGACTACTAATAATTGACCCAAGTTACCCCTCTTCATTTAAGAAGGACAACTCCTCCTCCTTTATACATAGAATGTGTGCCTATGATGTTACACCTATAGTTTATAACTGCAATTTTAGGATCAATTTTTATTGTTACGTAGTTCTTGTTCTCCATAAGACTGTGCCTGTGTTGCTGAAAGAACAACCTGAAACACTGTATTAGGTTGCTGTTTCAGGAAAAAAAAAAAATATATATCCACCTTGCAGAAATGTCCTCTTCACAGAATTTTAAATCTTTGTCCTCTAAGCAGAGCTTTAGGAGTTGTGTGCTGAGCAGACAAGCTAGCAGGACACAGCACTGTGCTGGAGAACTCATTTATCTTGCTTTAGAAATGACACAGGAACTAAATCTGCCCTCACTTTACATCGCTGACTTTTATGGGACTACCCTACTGTAACACAAGGGCAGACGCAACCTAAAAAATGTAGATACCTCAATCCATAACTAATCAAAAGCAGTTACACACACATTAAATATGCTGCTACAGAAAGCTACAGATTCTGAGAAATTTTCAGTCCAAACTGGACCTTCTGTAGCTTGGTTCTCACTCAGACTTAAAATTCCAGTAGCTGTGAAGTAAGCGGAAATAAAAACACTGAAATACAGGAGAAAAATCCACTGATAGCAAACTGCTAAGAAACAGGATAGCACCTCCCAAATACAGTGTTTAAGCATCCAAACGTCAAAGTTAGGTCACATAACGTAAGAAAAAAATACCTTCTCTACATAGCTAATGGTGCCAGCAGCTCGAAGCATGCAGTGCTGCACCCCGGCAAAGCTGCCGGCACTGGCCGAACGGACCAGGCGGGCAGCGAGGCAAGCCGACCCCCGGATGGAAACGCCGCAGCACACCCGGGCTTCCAACTAGGGCACCCACAGAGCTGCTGGGAACTGTGGGCACACAGGTCCCTTTGGGGCCGGCCACGCACCAGAAATACTTCAAGGACATTCTGGGGCCCCGAGGGTGTTATTACAGTTTGTATAAGATATCTTTAAGCAAGGCGCTTAAAGAAATAAATAGGTCAATGCCCTCAGAGGTTGAACAGTCACAACAAAACAAAAAAAAGTTCCTAATTGACCTAAGTGATCCTGGCACGGCCTAGGAGAGACTCTATCCCGGATAAGAGGCATGAAGTTCTGCCCAATCCCTATACAGAGTTATATTTTCGGCAACTGCCCCATCCACCCTTCTGATCAGCCGTCAGGACTATCTTATTCGTTATCCCAATCCAGGTCGAAAGGGAATCCTCAGAAAACGTGCATACTCAGAGTCTGAAAGTATTTCCAAAATAATGCTGCCTTGTAAAGCAGATAAATATTACAACTCCAGCTAATGATTTTGCTTGCCTGTAATCAGAACAGTAAAACTAATAAAACCTCTCCTTGGGTTAAAAGGGAACAAAACCACCCAGAACTTAGGCAACAGAACTAAGATAATTCTGTAATTCTCGATCTGAACAGTAACTACCTGGCACTGTGCTGTCTCTTTAAGGAGCACACAGCTGCTTAGCACAAAAAAAAAAAATTGCTTGATAAGGATACTGCCTTTTCCTTATTTCATCATAACAGCCCTCGCTTCTCCCTTCACCTTCGGTGTAGTGACCTCTGAATTGCCTCGTCAGTTCCTAGGCTTTGTGGACAGGGATATGTCCTATACACGCCTCTGCAAAGCACACCGGCTGTCTGTCCTTCTGTCATAATAACCAGGAGACAGTATATCTTTGCTACAACAGACACCACGCAAGCCAACTGAAGGTAAACAAAGTTTAGTAGCTGGAATGACCCTGTAATTTAAACAGGTTGTTACATGGGGGTAGCCAGAGAGATGGTTGTGCTCTAAAAGACTTCTCCTACACCATGGGTGCAATCCTGCTCTTACACAAGGTCTGTATCGCCTCTCAGACGAGCTGGTGCCTAAACCTGCGGTATCACAGGAGGGATCGCAGCCGGTCAGTCAGAGGCACGATGATACAGCACTCCACAAAACGGATAAGCAAAATACTCGTGTGAGGTTTGGAACAGTCCTTTCTCCCAGATAAGGGGCTCGAAGCAAGGCAGGATCCGAGCTTCGGGATTCAATCCAGTTAAACGTTTATGTACAGGCAACCAATTCAAACCAACGTGCTCCTGCTCCCCCCTCCCTGTCCAGGGCTTCCCTGCAGCTCTGCACAACCGTGCCGCTGCCGCTTTAAGAGGACGCTTGGCACCCAGCCGGACAGATGGCCGGCCGGACAGACTGACGGACATACACATCCGGTTCAGAGACTGCCCTGGCAGCAGCGAGGGCTGCAGACCGAGCAGGGTGTGCACGTCGCCTGACACCGGTCACCTCCGGGGATGCTGCTCATTCCCTCTCTCCAGCGATGCGTTCAGCTCCTCCTCTTGCCCCTCCATATTCTCGCCTGCCTGGGCTTCTGGGACTCCTTCTATAAGAAAGTCTTCCCATATGTCACGGCGAAGGTGGCAGCCATCTACAACCACAAGGTCTACAAGCGGAAACAAGAGCTGTTCAGCAACTTAAGAAAATTTGCTGGCCCTTTGGGCCAGCTCGTGTTGCTGGAAATTGGCACGGGCACTGGCACCAATTTCCAGTTCTACCCACCGGGCTGTCGGCTGACGTGCACCGACCCTAATCCCAATTTCAGAAAGTTCCTCCTCAAGAGCCTCTCGGAGAACCGGCACCTTACGCTTGAACGTTTTGTGGTTGCTTCTGGCGAGGATCTGCATCAAATTCCAGATGGCACCATGGACGTGGTGGTGTGCACCTTAGTGCTGTGCTCTGTGACCAACATCAAGAAAGTCCTGACGGAGGTTTTGCGAGTGCTCAGGCTGGTAAGCTGTGGCAGCGCGAGGGAGATCGGGGATGCCGATTTGTGTCATTGATAAGCCAAGTTGTGTGTACTGACCTACACTTAGGATAAATGCCATCACCTTCACCAGGCCAAGAAAGAGTTTAAAATCAACCAGCATACCCACTTATCCACTCCTAAGTCGTCTTTTTTTTTTTTTTCCCCTGCTTCACCTGCAGATGAAAGAACCACCTCAGCCTGCTTCCCCTGTCCTTCCTCAGCAGGACTGGTGTGCTGCCAAGCACACAGGAGGTCTGAAGTACCTGCAAGGTGGTCCTGATTGCCCGGGGCAAGTGAGTGGCACAGCTACTCAATCTGGGCAGCCTGGCTGCTGCACTTGCAGCTGGGCAACCTGCAAAAACTCCAAGGCCAAAGCTGTTTCAGAAAGAAAGAGAAAAGAAGAAAAACAAAAAAAACCCACCCCAGAATATAACCCAGGAGGTGCTGGGAGCTAGGAGGAGGAGGAGCAGAGCAGTGCTGGATAAGCAGGATTACTGCAGTACAATGGTGGAATACGGGGAGGGAAGCAGGAATGTGCATTGTAACACGGGTAAATTATTAACAACCATTTCAGTTCATAGTTGCCACGTGTATTCTCTAGCGATTCTCTCTCTTATCTTTAAAACTTGTCCATTTAAGCAGGTATTTTCATTATAATCTAAGGTGACACTTGTAAAATGCCACATTCCCATACTGCTCTTCCAATACTTTTTTCTTCATTTATCTCAAAATAACTGGGCAAGAGTTTAAATTAAGCTTAACAGAAATCCTATCCACACAGGTGAGCTAAATCTGTGTAACTGGTCAGAGTGTCCATGGGTAAATGAGATTTCAGCCTGCGTGTGGCTGAAAACCTAATTAATTCCTCGAGGCAATCTTGTACACTCCTACAAAGCAAAACTAGGGAAGAGGGAGTAAGATCATACCCAACACGTTCCACTAAGAAGGGGAAGGAAACATGAGCTCTGAACCCTTGACTTCTTCTCTGTTTGGCTCCACTGAACAAGTTTCACAGGAAAGGTTTGCTTACAATACTAGATTTGCTTTTTATCGGTTATTTATAAACATGGAAAGACATTGAACAGGTGTGGTCAAAGATAAAATTAAACATTGATAGGGTTCATGAGACTGATAATGACGAAACTATTATGCGCTACATACACTGACTGTAGCCTCTTCCTCACCCTGGGACACTAGATTTCTGCCTGCTAAACCTATCTCACACATTTTATAAACATTAAGAAATAAACTCTTTTCCTTGCTGGTATGTAGGGTAAGCAAACTGTTTATTCACATTTCTCAGATGAGATATACTGAAACACAAGGAAGTTAGTGGTTTGTCCAAGATCATCCAAGGCAGAGACAAAAACCTGGTGCCAGCAGTTCTGCTGTCAGACCACACTGCCTCTTGCACAATCCTAAGTTGCACCTATCAGTAAACGTGTAGTCATCCAGTAATAACCACCATCTTCAACAAAATCTGAATGGTAGGCACTTTTAGAGACTTCGCAGTTCAAAACAAACATGACTCTAGCACGCGTAACATCTCGGAAAGGACGCTGGTCTTCAGAGAGGTGATAAAAGGCACACAGAAGTGAACAACCCTAAGTCCTTTTCATGGCACTGTTTTCCAGGGTGGAGCTTTCTACTTCTTGGAGCATGTGGCTGCAGATCATTCCAGTTGGACCTACTTTTGGCAAAAGGTCTGCGACCCAGTCTGGAAGTATTTTGGAGATGGGTGTTCCTTGAGCAGAGAGACAGAGAAGGAGCTGGAGAAAACTAATTTCTCAGAACTAAATTTGAGGCACATTCATGTCACGCCTTACTGGATTCCTAGTAGTCCTCATATCATTGGGTATGCAGTAAAATAAATGACCATGAGCGCTGCGGGACACAGGACCTCCCTTCAGTACTCCTTTCATGCTTTATAGATGGTTTTTCACCCTTGCAGTCAGCCCATATACAGCAGCTGGCTACCCAGAATAAAAGTATGAAAAACTTCCTGAGCATCCACAGCTCACCCAAACTGGGAATCACATTCTTCCATTTGTTAGATAGGTTTTCTGGAGAGAGCTCTGAAATAGAGCTGCTGCACAGGGACCAGGCAAACAGGAAAGAACTCTAGACAACACGTTTCAGTCCAATACAAAATAAAGGAGGAGTCAGCATCTTAAGAGAGTTGAGAAGGGGGAGAGGGAAGAAAGGGAACAGAAGATAGATGCAAGCAAGTACAGGGGGCTAACATGTTTCTAAGGGCAGAGAATAATGCCCAACCTCTAACATTTCCGATACAGGACACATGCATAATAGATACAGCATCACTAGGAGCATTTTCATTTCAGTCTTCCCATTATGAAATACGTTTACGAGCAGGCATTCATTCGCCTGTGCCAGTACAGTCCTCCCTGACAGGACTTTTGTTTATTCAGGGAAGTGCTCATTACAACACCAGTTCACTAGGCATAGTCCTCACTGGCCATTAGATGCTAATGCTATCAGTGCAGATTTAACGTGAAACAGCCACCTATAAAGCAAAAATGGAACTTTTCTTTACACTGGGAGAAAACTGGCATTTGTTAAATCGGATGGCAGAAATCTCATCTCTGCTGTAAAATGCTGTTACTAGATCAGCCACGTCCTTAGAGCCCTTTTGTCATGCTCTACTAACATGTTTTACCTATGCTTAAACTCTTCATTTTCTACTCCCCCTCCAATCTAGATCACACCTTAAAGAGGTCTCTTTTAAAAGCCAGGAGTTCCATTAGAAATGTTTTCCAGTTAAACTCCCCTAGGAGACCAAGAGAAGGTGCTGCTCTCTTGGCCACTATTTAACCTTTTCTATGATTTCCTGCAGTACAGCAGCAAAGAATTAAAACCTGGTACAGATGATATTTATAAGAAATTAATGTATTTTGTGCTCCATACACATCCAATTGGTCTACACAGAAAGTAACTCCCATTGTTCAAATTTGTTTCTCTAATGTAGTTGCCACAAGGTGGAGGTATGAAGGTATAACAACACAGTTTGTTAATAAAGCAGTCTAGTAACAATGCTGCCGTATGTGGATTTTATATTTGCTTTATTCCCACTAGAGGGAGGAAGTAACTCATCGGACAACAGGACTAGCTGTCACTCAACAGAAAACCAAAATTCTCCAGTGCAATTCACAACAGAACTGGGACCTTAAGTCCTTCAGCAATTAAATGCTAGTGGCTAATCTACACTGCTGCCAAGTCCTTTGAAAAAGCACTGGTGACTGCAAAGTTGAAAAAGTTTTACAGAATGCATTTAGCATAGAACGGACCATTCATTGTTGACTCAAGCTTATGAAGTTAATAAAACCAAGCCATACACTGTATGCAGCGATTACCAAATTAATAAATTGTTTTATCTCTGTTCCATGATTCCCATCAAAGATCTGAAAGATAACTAAGAAAAGCAAGCTGATTCACTGCAAAGGAGCCCATATGCGCATACCAAACTATTTTAGGTGTCCACGAAGTGGAAAGACTGAAACCTGCTGTTGCAGAGAGAGCACAGAGCAAGTAGCTGACTAGCTCATCCAGCTACTTACAACGGGGTGGTAAATTAACTCTTAAACAAATGTGTTTTAACTGAAATGTTAATCAAACTCCTAATGAAACACCTACAGCAAATCCAGAGTTTGCATGAATTTCCTTCGGCTCACTAAAGACAACATACGGTTGCTTTAAGAAATATGACCTGTAACCTGAAACTGCTGAACACCAAGTTAGGGCATCTTATGACATGTTGCCAGTGGTTACATACAAAGTTGTACTGCCCAGTTTGTCCCAGTAACAGACTGGCAGCTCCTCTTCTGCCAGAGTTGGGACGCTACAGTCACTATTTGGTATGCAGTCCTGCCTTTCCCTTCCTTGCCTGTGACCAGACTTTAAAATCAGCTTTAGAGAAAAGTCTACCAGATCAATCCAAGGAGCTGAATACACTTCAAGAGGAACACAGCAAGTACATGAATGCAGCTCGCTCTGAATTTCAAGGGCTCTAATTCACAGAAGAACTAGTTTTGCTCAGCACAGATCCTCTGCCCTACGCTGGAAATGACAGAGGCCAGCACCCTCTTCCTCCGTGCCTGCCTCACGCTGCTTGCCATGCCCATCTACCTACTACCATTCCTGGGCATCTGGGAGCCTTTCTGTAAGAAGATATTTTTTCCTTTCTTCTTAGAGAAGTTTTCTGCAATTCATGAAAGGAAAACAAAGCAGCAGGAGCTATTTCATAATCTCCCTGACCTCATGAGGCCCTCAGGAGAGCTGAAGCTGCTGGAGATCGGGACCAGCTGCAGTGCTAACTTCCAGTTCTACCCACCAGGCTGCAGAGTCACGTGCACTGACACAAACCCCAACTTCCAGCAAGACCTTTCGAGGAGCGTGAACAAGAACCAGCTTGTCCACTAAGAGCATTTCCTACTAGCTGTGGGAGAAGACCTGCACCAGGTGCCCAGCAGTTCTGTAGATGCCGTCATCTGTGCCTTTGTCCTCTGCTCTGTGTGCAGTGTGAATGGCACCATAAAGTACTGCGAGTGCTCAGACCAGTGAGTATCTGAATAATAAGTTTTGTTACTACCTTTATCATCTATTCCAGAGGCACTGCACCAAAAGAAAAGAAACAAAAGGAAAAAAAAAAGTTGGTTTTGAGCTTACAAACGAGACCAAGTTTATTTCCCTACAACCACTCTGCACTGCTACATAGTGCAAAGCAGTAGCAACATACTGGTCAGTCTGTCCTATTCTTAAAAGTTAAAACCTAAAAGTAACAGTCTGCTAACTAGAACTGCCACTAATTTTGTAAGTGATTATGGTATATCATTTAAAGCAGAACTGGTTCCTGTGTTGTTGTCCCTCCCCACACACACCAGATTTTCTTGGGGTGGGACGCTCTCTGATCAAGACTGAAAGTCTGCATTTTAAATGGAACTGCTTTAGCCTCTTAAAAGTGGGGCTCATCTACCTGTATGACTAAACCAGTCTAATTAAATGCCTTCTGTCCCTGTAGTATACCAATCAAGCTAAAGATTAAAACCAGCTGTTTTGTTGGGGTATTTTTGCAATAGACTTTCAGCTTTTAAAATGGCATTTTCAAGACAATCCTCTGGGTTGTCAAAAAATGATGAGTTTGAGTAAGATTTATACATTTCTTTTAGTTTCCTTCAAAACAAATTACATGCTAGCAACTGTAATTGAAACAAAAAGACAACAAACTATTGCTATAATAAAAGAGGGATCAAGTAAGTACATCCTTCACGCTTTTTGCATAGGCACTTTGAATCTCTGCAAGGTTCCTGCTTTACATTAATTCCAACTGACATCACAAAATCAAAAAGCAGGCAGGGACGGGGTGGGAGAATACCGATGAGCGAGCAAACTGCGCACACACACTGGTCTGTGTTTGAGAGGAGGTGGGATGGAGGGAGAAGTCTGGTGTAACCCCAGCACCTGCTGCGGCTCTGTAAGGTGACTTTGTTTTCCCCAGGGAGGCGCTTTCTGTTTCTTAGAGCACGTGGCCGCTGATCATTCCAGCTGGAAGTACTTTTGGCAGCAGATCTGCTGTCCGACTTGGAAACTCATCTTTGATGGATGCTGCCTCATGAGAGAGATATGGAAGAATCTCGAACAGGCCAACTTCTTGGAGCTGAACTTACAACACATAAACATAGAGCTGCCCTGGATGCCCGTACGGCCTCACATCATCAGCTATGCTGTGAAGTAACTCACACCGCCCTGCCAAGCCTTCTCCCCTGCCCACACTGAAATTCCTTGACATAATCAACACAAACAGCGTGGCATAGACTAATCCAGACGTCCGAATCTAGGTAACACAGTAAAGGACTTCAATCAAGTTTCTGATTCAAGCACCAAATAAGAAAAGAGGGTTAGTTTTCTAAACATCTTTGAAGCCCTTGCGCTGCTGACTGTGCCTTGCCAGACCCCAACGCAGCCCACAGAGGATCCCAGGAGAAGGCTGCAGGAGAATGCAAAACAGCTCAGCAGGCAGGAAAAAAAAAAAAAGAAAAAACCCTATTAACTCAAGAGAACTTCTGCCTACGCCTGGTTAACTCTGGGCAAGGATTCCTTCAGGTGTTCCCCACGCTGGGAAGCAGCCAGGCAGCCCGGGCTCCCTGAGCCATTGTAGACCAGCGCTGGCCTCAACCCTCTCCCCTCGCTCCGTCACGGCTGTTCACGTCCCAACCCCACAGAACGAGCAGCCAGAACAAACCCTTAACCCCCAGCTTTTTGAGCTTTTTGCTCAGCCGCAAGTATTTAGTCACAAAAGACGGGGGGGGGGGGGCGCCCCCCCCCCCCCCCATAACACTTACCAAAGCCTCTCGGTCACCTGGCTGCCTGCCCGCCTCTGCGCCGTGTGTCGAGTTTTAACGCTGTTCGCCCCCAGAACATTAAACGACTCGTTTTTAACGTTACGCGCCTGGGAAGTTTCCCGGCGAGGTGCCGCGGCTCCTGTCGGGACGAGCCGCCGCCTCAGCGACCGTTGGCAGCGGCGCCCCCCGGGGCCGGCCCCGCCGCCATTTTGTTCTCCCCTCGACGGAGGATGCGGCGGGGACGGTCCGCCGCCGCCCTCCTGCTTCTGCTGTTCATGGCGGGTTCCCTGCCCGAGGTGGCGGCCCCGCGGGCTTTCAGTGAGGGTACCGTGGTTATACCGGAGGAACGGGTGTGGGAAGGGCCGTGGCGGGCAGTCGAAGGGGCTGAGAGGGCAGGCGGGGGGGAAGAAGGGGAGTGTGTGAGGGGGGAAGAAGGGGGTCGGGCTGTGGTGGTGCAGGGCTCCCCACAGACAGGCGGAAAAAACTTCATCTGTGCCTAAATCAGATGAATTCCTAAAGCAGCAGTGACTGGGACCCGCTAACCCTCAAGGTACGCCATAACTCCATACCCAAGAAATACGCGTGTAACCAGCAGAAATAACACACATTTCATACAACCTGCAAAACCAGTCCCGGGATCTCCAGAAGCTGGGCTCCAGCTGCATCCTGCAGCAAGTAACACTGTAGATCAAAAAACAACAAAAAAACCCTCTCCAGCTACTACAAACAAACAAACAAACTCCCCAAACCGCTGCTAGTGCACCAAAAGCTCTGGTTTTTGGTTTGAACGATATAACCGACTCTGTTCTGTTTTGCAGAGTGCGGACAACGGCCGCTCTTTGACAGCATCTCGGGATCCCGGATCGTAGGTGGACACGACGCTCAGACTGGAGCGTGGCCGTGGTCGGTCAGCCTCCAGATTCACCAAGCTGGTGTACGATTTGCACACGTTTGTGGTGGAGTTTTAGTTAACAAGAATTCGGTACTTACCGCCGGCCACTGCGTTACAGGAAGGCAGTATGTATTCATGCTAATAGCTTTTTTTTTTTAATACTGTGAGGAGGGCACTGTAGATCAGCAAAGCATCACCTGTGGTATCTCTGAACAAAAGGCAAATCACTGGGACATACACGGGCCGAGCTCTCATAGCGCAGAACCAACGTGCAGACAGACCCAAACGATGCAACTCCTGTTTGCTGATACGGCCTGTAAGAGGGACTGGTCGTGGCTCTAAGGACCAAAGACTGTCCCCCCCTTTTTGTCACCTTTGCTGTAATGGTTGTGTGTGGTGGCGGCTGCCAGCCCAGTGTGGGATATAAAGATGTAACTTTGCAAGTCAACATCAAGAAGTCTGGCTTGGCCCAGAACAACCTTTGTTATTTTTAATAAAGGGTCTTTTGTTTTTGATCTAGGTGACATTTTTGTTAAGTTGGGGGCTTTTTTTTTTTCCCCATGGAGCTCTAATTTTTCCGATTAATACATTTTTCTAAACTAGTAAAGCTCACTGCAAAAGGAAACTGTTGCAATATTTAGATTAGACACATTAATATTCATTAGTTTTAACACTATTTCTGTTTTTCCTGGTTAACAGAACCAACAATTTGGCACTTAACTACTTTTTTTTTTGACAATGTGGTAATAACACTCCTCAGAACAGGCCTTTTACTTGTACTTACAGCAATTCTGCAGCATTTCAGGTAGCTGATCGCTGTTGTCTTTCGGTAGTCTTTAACATAGTTGGAAGTTCGTATTGACTGTGTTGACATAACCATGACCTAAGGAAAACTGAACTGTAAAAAATCTCTGAACTTTGAAATTTTATCATTTACCAGGACTTTGTTAGATCAGTTCCTTGTTTCTTTAAATGCACTTTTACAAACATTAATTTAGAGGGGAATCATCTCACAAATAATCAATTTAATTTTTATCTTACACTCTGGAGAATTTTGGAGGTTAATCTGAATTTCATAGCCTGTCCTTTGCTCATCACAGGCCAAATCCAATTCCCACTTAATATCAGTAAAGATTTTTTTTCAACATACTTGAATAGAAATTAGGTCTGAATGACTCTGGCCCTATTTCTAAATTTAATATTAAGCTGATACTCATTATTTGTAACTTCTAGTTAATCGCTTTCCCAAACCTAGGTACAAGCACAGTCTTTATAAGTATTATGGGTATAACCCCACTTCCATTCTGCAAAATAAATCCAACCTTTTCAATCTTTTTCAAAAGAATATCTCCCAGGTCGCCTCTGCTGAGATGGGGTGGGAAGCAAAATCTCAGTATCAGCTTAAATCATTAATCTGAATTCACCTTAACAGCCATAACCACCATTAGGCAAACTGGTTGTTCAAAACAGACACAATGGTAATTAGCCAAATTTGTTCTGGACAATATTTACTACAGAATTTTCAATGTATATTCCTAAAGGTGCATCAGCCAGCATTAAAACAATCGGTTAAAACAGTGCCATCAAGAAACATATTTACTTTAACGTCTGGACACATATTTAGCTAACGGTCACAAGAGCATTCCACAGGCCTTTAGAAGGCCTTGAACAGAATAAACAAGAAGATAAAAAAAGAAAGATGCCAATTAGAAGAACACAGGTGCGCATTCCACGATAAAGGGAACTTGGCACAAAGAACCTCAATTCAGCAGTTTATCTTGACCAATTAGACTGAGACAAGTTTTGCATGTTTTAGTTAATATAACCAATTATGTCCTATGTTTATGCACGTGTACAGAGTTAGTATAACCAATTATATCTTATGTTTATGCGCGTGTACAGTGTCGATATAACCAATCATATTCTATGCTTGTGCGCGTGTACAGTGACTTTGCAGAATATGTGACTATAAGTATGTGTGTGTTTTAGCAATAAAGGGTCGTCTGTCATCTGCTTTCAAGATTACAGGCGTCCGTCTACTTCAATCTCCTCATAATGTAATTGTAAAAAACACATGAATTCTCTCTTAGGGACCCACATTCCTGGAGAGCTGTTTTGGGTGTGCTTAACCTTCAGAAACATGGCAAACACGCAGCAAAAAGAACTATTAGAAGCATCACTGTGCACCCAGAATTCAAGAGAGAAACATTTGAAAATGATATTGCATTATTTGAACTTGATTCTGCAGTACGCTACAGTGACTATATTCAGCCTATCTGCTTACCTCCTGCACACCTTTACCCACATGTTGACAACGAAACAGAATGCTTTATTAGCGGCTGGGGACGTACAGCAGAAAAAGGTAAAAATTTGCTTGCATTGTTGATCATGTTGTAAGCTACACAACTAATATCGGGTTCCAGTCCCTCAAGCTCACTGACAGAGAACTGAATTTGTTCAGGTTATAGTCTCATCGCACAGCATCATTAAATCCTTCTGCAACTGAATATGCTTTCAGTGTTTTATTCATTGCAAGCAGATTAGATCTACACATATGTAACCAAAGGCATACATTTTCTAGCCTTTCTTCCAAGTATAACATGAAAAAAGGAAAATAAAACTAGCCTGATTTTCAGATTCATGGTACTCAATGTTGTCTGCTAGAAATAACTTTTTTATTGAAAAACAATTCTGATGATGTGCATTGTGAACTTAGGGATGCCCATGTATTTTATGAATGGCTGCACTCCCTCAAATTCTCTCTTTAATCACAATGAGCACAAACTCGACATGATGTCAGTTGGTGGTGTGCATCTTTCTTGTGTGGAAATTTCAAGGACAGCTGGGGATCATATAAGTTTGATAAGTCACCTCTGACATTTTGAGCAAGGTGAGTGAGCAGTATTGTTATCATTGATGATTCTACAGAATAAGAATTGCAAAAACTACATCAAATCTAAGTCTGCAAATCCTTAACCCACCTAGGTTCAAATCCATTAGAAGTAGGCACAATCTGTATTACGTACACATCTAAGTACATACAGAAACATGCTTAAGCTAGCTAAACAGGAAAAAAAAGAGCACAGTAAGAATTGCTACACGCAACAGCATAAATATTTTACCTTTCTATATGCTGTCTTCCATTAAAGGTAAAACTTCACCTGTGTTAAAAGATGCACAAGTGGAAATCATTCCTTCTAGTGTCTGTAACAGTTCTGATGCGTATGAAGGTCTGGTTAGCAACAATATGATTTGCGCTGGCTCTCGATCAGGAGGCACCGATACCTGTCAGGTAAGAATGAACATAGTGCCTGACCTGCCGCTATGGAAACCCCCAAGCCAGAGTCTCAGGAGCATCATGGTGACCAGCATTTGTAGCACAATTAATTAAAATAGCACAAATACTAACCAGAAAACATGTCAAACTGCAAAAGCATCATCATAAATAGAAAGAGAGGCGAGACGGTGATTCCAAAGAAAAAACGCATCTCAAAAACATACACAAAGAATTCAGTGATACTCAGCAGGAGACAAGAATAAGTTAAAGGAGAAAGACCACAAACATATTTATACAATACTTGCCACAAAGATGTCAATAAATGATACAACATTACACAAACATGTATCACTGTACATATATAGTGTGTGAAGCACACAAGCATCTTGCCTGTTTTTATGCTTCTGAAAGAGAGCAGCAGCATTGGAAGGTGATACGGTTCAGTGATATGGCAAGATTTTTATTTAAATGCTGAGCAGTCAGCACCGCTTTCTGAGAAAAGACAGTTCTCAGATCAAAACCACTAGCATGCAAAAGCTGGGGCACCAGTTGTGATACGGAGACATTTACAATTAAAACCCATAATGTATTCATAAGTACTTTGTCTGCTACACTTCCTGCTTTCCTCAGCAGTTTTCCTTTAAGTAGGTGATACGGCAAAGACTCAGAGTTGTCTATTCATTACTGTGTGTCTTGGTACTTATACATTGTGTGGACAATATACTCTCATACTAACTGATGAGTGAGAAAATTTAGGGAGACAAGCCTTAGCCTGAAAAGGTGCAGAAAGAAAAACAACAGAACTTCAGTTAAAGACACAGCAATTAATGCAGGTGTGGTATTCTAGTCAAGGCAGCATCACCCAGCATCACCCAATTTTATCTTAATTTGTCTGTGTACTACTATCCATGTATTACCGTCATTTTTACTGTCCAGTTAACTTAGCTAATTAAAAAAAGTTAAAAAAAAGTGGACATATTACTGACCTACTTCTACATTGTTTCCTGGAATTGAATATATGTTACTAGTTTTTTTATATTGTTTATTTATAGGGAGACAGCGGTGGACCTTTAGCGTGCTATCACCCTAGTACCAACAAATACTATCTCATAGGGATTGCTAGTTTTGGAGTTGGCTGTGGCCGACCAAAATTTCCTGGGATCTATGTCCGTTTATCTCAATACAGAAGATGGATAAAATCTGAACTTCCGTTGAGTAACAAGGCTGTGAATCCCATGAGCATTACACTTACCATCCTTCTGACTGCGGCACATATAGTACTTGTAGACTTTCTAAAGGGACAAATCATTGTGCCATCATCATAAAGATTTGGTCTGCCTGTTAAAACTTGGAAAAGACAGCTAACTCCTGTTTCAGAATAAATCGAAGCGCCAAAGGACATACACTTATTTTTTAGAAGTCATGTTTACAACTCTGTTATTTTTTTTGTTTTCTGCCTTTGATTTCCATACTAACAGTAGAGGAAATGATAACAACCTTCACCCTAATAACGGAGTTGAATACAGAAATGTTACCAACTGAAAATACTTTTTCCCGACCCTATTTCTATGCTTTTCCAGCTATCAGAAGTCTAGGTACTACTTCATAATACTACCACCACGATTTTGTAGATGGCAGAGATACTCCCTCTGCTGGGTGAATCCTAGCAGAGCACAAAATGGTTTTAGTGAACAGTGGCTCAGCTTACTGAAAACTAAAAAGGAAAAAAAAAACCTGCAGAAAGATAAGAGGTATTCACCACTAATTATTTTTAATGATTTTTTTAAAATTACTTTTAAAAATTATTTTAAATGATTTTTAATTATTCATGACTAAAAGTTATGCACAAATAACGTAGTACTCTGCTGAAAGGACACATCAGATAAAAGATCTCTGGGTGCTGTTTCATAAACTAAATATTTATTCTTGGCCACTGTAAAAGACCTGATACCACACAATGTATGCACATTTGGTAGGAACCACTGCAGTACTATGTTAATTAAAAATAAATAAGGAACATCAGAATTATATTTTGGCGACTTTATTTACCAAGGTCAAAATTTGCAACCATCTAATTGTTTCAACAAATATTTACAGTTCATATAAAGCATGTACTTTTGTTTGGAAATAACCAGCAGAACAGTATTAGGTACTACATCTTTTACTCTCAGGATATCAATTTTACTCTCTTACAATCTAGATTTTGAAGTAAATCCAAAATAAGTATTTCATGATAAGTGATTACTTAAAGAGCAAACTCATGTTACTGTTTAATATTTCCATGATGAAAAATAAGCTGCTCTTTGCAAACACTATTTTAAGAGGATAAAAATTTACTAACGTTATGTCTGGCAGCACTACGTTTGTTTCACTTGCTGAATACAGAAAGAATTGGCCACCATTTTTTTACAGTCTTAACACTTGATAGCTTCTTTTATTATTATTCTGTATTACAAAAGAAGGTAAAGGAACAACAGCACACAGTGAGGATCAAAACACCATACAGAGGAGTTACCAAATTAGTTTCAGTACTGTAGGTCAAACCCTCTTAAACATATGCCAAATAGCGTACACACACCTGATGGGAGACAGAGCGAAAAGGTCCAATTCTCTGAGGTGCTAAGCACGTTCCAAGGTGTTCATTTTTCCTGAAATTCCACTAACAGAAACAGGAGGTACTGGAGACCTCTTTTGGAGCAGTTCCCTAATGTAATGACTTTCTCAACCTTGCTCATTATTTTTGACGTGCAACAAAAGCACTCTTTTTTGACGTGATTGCGAACAGAAATGTATACTCCAGTTTGGCCTAAAGGAAACGTATCATGGATCATGTCCACAACAATCAGGTGTTTAGAAACTTCAGAAAAAAACCCCATTTTTATAGCCCACTAACAATGCGATTGTGGAATGCAGTCTTTCTCATACCATTCGCAGAGAGCTCTGCTTGCTAAGAAGTCCATTAATTCAAAAATGAGTAAAATAAAAAATACTGACTGACCATATGATAAGCATTACACATCTAGGGAGTGAGTACGTCTTTTAATCTCATTCAGATCTGAGCTAGCACAACACACACACGTAGCTCTAACACCTTTTTAATAGCATAGTCCATAGTGCAATTCCCACTGACATAACTGGAAGCAGGATTCAATCCTAACTATGGAAAATAGTGTATTTATTATTCATGCAATAAGCACTGCATACACATTTTTCTATTTCACAGAATCACAGAACGGTCGAGGCTGGATGGGACCACTGGAGGTCACCTTGTCCAACCCCCCTGCTCAAGCAGGGTCACCTAGAGCCGGTTGCCCAGGACCACGTCCAGACGGCTTTTGAGTATCTCCAAGAATGGAGATTCTACACCCAAAAGAGTCCTGATCATGTCAAACATTTAATTTTCACCTGAAACAAATTAAAATCATACAAACTAGAATCTCTGATAAAAATCAGATCTAATGTGCAGATATTATCAACTGTGGGGAATAAAAAGCCCTGATCTCTTTTTTTTCTTTTTTTCCCAACACTCTTTAGGATCCATTTTTTTGCAAGTTGCCTACAGACATACAAAATTAATTCAAATATCTCCTACACCAAAGAGGATCTCATTTGACTTTGTACTATCCATAAAAATATATGCTTGAAAATCTGGTTCACAAAATATTTCATTTGTTTACTAAAATGAAATATATAAACTGTCAAAATACGTATATAAACTCAATGTCAGAATTTGTAAAGATCACAATTTAGCTACAAAATATACCAACCATCTACCTGTTTTCAATAGAGTATTTTCTTACAAAGATACCGTTACTTTGCAAAATATCGCCTACCTTTACAAAATTAGTCCGGAAATTTTGCACTACTTTCAGCATAGAAACCATATATTAGAACCTCATTAACACTTTGGTATTTATCTTCAATTTTTTATTTTATCGTTCTTCTTCTATTTGGTTTAAATGTTCCAAAGCACAGTAGAATCTCCAGACAGAATAAGCAATGCATGTTTAATTGTATATATAATCAGCACACAATTTATTTTTCAATTATAGATGTTTATCATGCCCAGCAACTAAGAACAAACTATTGTGAAATCATTCTTCAGAAACTTTTGTTCACCAGTACTCGTTCCACCACATCGTACTTTAAAATAATTGGATGTGTTGAATTCTCTTAAGAAAAGTCAACACCTTATTTCATGTGCCTCAGACATTTTCAGGACTAGGCCTCTCACTGCTTTCTGCAGATCCTTTCCAAATTTGATAAACACAGCAAACATTGAAAAAACCCCCCAACTTTTTAAACTGTCAGCTGAGAAAGAGTAAACATAATTTATACCTCTAGCAAAGTATTAGCTTTTTTTATCATCTGCACCTGTAAATGACAACTTACAGGTTAAAATAAAAATATTTACATACAAATAACTGAAAAGAAAAAGTAAGGATTGAAAAAGAGTAAGAAATCAAAACATATACTGGTTATAAATGTTACTAATAATGTCAACTATGGCAAGGATTCCATTTCATCCACACTTTAATTGTAACCAAGTATTGCCTCCATTACAAGAGGCATGTGTAGAAATTTTCAAAGAAATTCTAATCACCTGCCTTATAAAACATCACTGTCCTTTTATTGTAGATGCAATCTTGACTTTATAAAGTTTCCAGTTGTGCCAGCAGGAATTTTGGTGAGGTTTTCTTGTTTCCTTTTTGTACTTTGTCACCAACATGTTGTAAATAAAATCTATATAGTCTTTAAGTTGTGAAATCTAGGTAGAAAAGTTTCATTTTTGACCTTTCATCTAGTTTAAAAAATTCAGTATAAAAAAAAAATTCTCCTCTGAAATTTAAACAGTCCACAAAAGTTTTACCTTCTTTTCTTACACACTTTTATGACAGTAAAGATCTTTCAAAGTTTTTAGCTCTTCAATTAGAGTTTTGTTCTGATTTTCCAGGACCGCAACTCGATTTTCCAGACATTTAACATACTCTTTCTTCTTTCTACGGCACTCTCGAGCAGCTTCCCTGGAACAGACAAACAGAAGTAACTGTTTATTTTAGATTTGAGATGTGTCTATTTTATGAATGTTATGATTCTGACCAACATGGGAGGAAAGAACTGGCATGGCAATCTTGAACAAAACAAACTGAAAAGTACACAACGATAGGTGGAGAGCATGAAGTTTAGCAGTATCTGGTAGTCAATCTGCATGGAAAAAACAATTTGCTTTCTCCAAAGCATGTCAGACAGAACATGTAGCATGTTTTGGTCAGAATTTCCAATGCTTTTAGTCGCTGGATGCAGCATACCATCCTGATGGCACAATCAGTAAAGTTAGCTCGCAAGACTCGTAATTTGTGCTTTTTAGATATATTTCAGAACTTTAAACTAACAAATCAAAGCAGCCCACGTGCACTTACATACCTGTTCTTCATCAGCCTTATTTCTCGTTTCAACTGTGGATCATCTGTCTTACTTGTCTGTGATGTCAGAGTGACAGGAGATGTCATCACCACAGTCTGAGGAAGAGATGTGGTAGTTGGCGTCGTGCGGATCTGGTAAGTCTGCATGTCTCCTGACGCAGCTGTTGCGATAATAGCATAAGACATCAAAATGTGGTAGCGTTAGAAAGTTAGGCTTGCGTTAGTGATGGGTATTTCTAACCATTTCCAGAAGGCGTACTCACTCTGCACTACCACCTGGTTGCTGGGTACGAGTATCTGTTGACCATCTGATGTTTGTGCGTACTGCAGTATTGTTGTCCCAGGCTGAGTACCACCCGCATTTGTCATTGTTAGTGTCTGCAGACCTTGCACACCATCTGTACCTGGGCTGGCCAGCTGTAATCCGTTTGCAGCAATGGCAACTTAAAGAAAAAGGAACATGCACAATAATAGTTGTAGCTGTACATTATAACATACAGATAGAGGTAAATCTATAGACTGTACATCTGTTTCCACTGCTGAAAAATACTGACAGTTTTAAAAGGCTTTTTTCTTCTGTCACTTTCAACTATGTGATCTTGCTGCTGGGTTCTTACTGAACTTAAGCAAGCTGGAGGGGGACTTTTACAAGGGCATGTAGTGATAGGACAAGGGGTAATGGCTTTAAACTGAAAGAGGGTAGATTTAGATTAGATATAAGGAAGAAATGTTTTACGATGAGGGTGGTGAGGCCCTGGAACAGGTCGCCCAGAGAGGTTGTGGCTGCCCCATCCCTGGAAGCGTTCAAGGCCAGGCTGGATGGGGCTTGGAGCAACCTGGTCTAGTGGAAGGTGTCCCTGCCCATGGCAGGGGGGGTGGAACTAGATGATCTTTAAGGTCCCTTCCAAGCCAAATCATTCCAGGATTCTACAAACATATTGGGTTTAAGTGGTGAGGTGTTGGTAGTGCGGGGAGCTGCAGGGGTGGCCTCTGCAAGAAGAGGTCTGGGACTGCGCCGTGCCAGACACCAGCTCCACGTGGACCCGCGCTGACCACCGCTGGTGACTGCTCTGTGGAAACATACTTAAGAAAGGGCAAAATTCCAGACAGGCAAAGGCGTCGGGGAGAGGGGAGGAAATGAGAAACAGCAGTATGAACACCCAGCTCAGAGAAGAAGGATGGAAAGGTGCAGGTTGCCTTTTGGTTCACAAGCACAATGAATACTAGGGATAAAATCAAAGGAACAAATCCTTTTTTTTTTTTCTGCTACCTCCCTGATACCACAGGAACACCTTTTGGTGTGGCCCTATCATATATATAATGGTATCTTCACTGATCTTACATTTTGGACTAAATCTAACACTAGAAGACTGCTGTGTATTTTGTAACAATATCCTTTGAATGTCATGTCTTAATATGCAAAAATTAAGATAATGAAGCATTGAGTTTATCTGGAGTCTTTAGATATCAGTCTATTTCCATGTAATTAACAGTACTAACTTCACTGACTGTTAGATAAATAACCAAACCTTTTGAGTTTCATCTTAGTCAAATATATAACAAAAAGAATATCTGTATTTTGAGGCAAGTTGAATAAAAAATGTGTCCAGTTAGGCATATATTTTGTATAACATACTGTACTGTCCAGTGCTTGTCTGGTAGATAGGCGTAGGAACGGACATAGATGTAACAGTAGAGACACCAGGACTCTCCTCATCTCCTTTTCTATCGCGTGTATCTTCAGAAGAAAGATCTTTCAAAATTTTTCTATAAAAAAAGTTTCTTTATCAGCTATAATAGTAGGCAAAACCTACAAATTACTGCAACAATAGTTACAAACTACTATATTTAGTATTACAGACATAAACACTAAAATTTTGATGTACAACAGTTTTTGGAATTAACAAAATTTTGTATGAGGTGACTGCCTCAAACTCTTTCTGTAATTACATTTCTGTAGTTTATATAGTCTAGTTTGTTATTTAAATATTTGAATAATTTTATGAGCTAAGAGCAATTCAAGTCAGCTACTTATTTATAAAGTATGAGTGTGTGCAAATCAGCACGAATTCCAGATTTTCAATTATTATCCTCTAAGAGCCTTAGATGTTTGGACTGGTAAGCCTGAAATGAAAACCTGCACCATTTACAGTAGATTTCAGTAATCTCCAGAAAAACGGTGTGCTGAAAACTAGCACTGCAGCTGCATCGCTTTATTTCAGTAAAAGCTGCATCAGAGTTTCCATCATAAACATTTTCCGGGGATACACAACTGGCCTGTTAAAGAGATTTTTCTGATTTACAACTCGATCCTCTAATTCTCTCAAGAATAGGCTTTGTACATCCAATTAAAACCAGTTTGCTCTGTCTGGTGTCAGAATAAACTAAAAAGGAGTGGATTACTACAGAAAAGCTTAAAACTTAGATCTTTTGCTCTTTCAGTACACAGTAAGACTTTACATTTCTTTTCTGCGTTTAATTTAGCTGTTGCACAGCTTCCCAAACAACCCATGTCCTCTATAACAATGCCCTATGAAAACAGACACACCTCTATTTAAAAGAAGAACCAATGGAAGCATGAATTTTATGCATCTTACCCCAGGCCTAATGATGAATTAGTGGCAGTTATATGAAGAGAAAAGCAGAACTGACAACTCCTGATCCCAAACCCACACGGCTAAACAGTTCTCCCATAGAAGCTCTGCTTACAGCTTGTATTTTCCTGTCCTGGCTACTATAACTGAAGATTCAGAATTGCTCCTTTCCACCACCGTTTTTGACTGCATGCAAAATAATAAAATCCCTCCTAAATTACTTGTTCTGGTACATAATTCAAGATGAGATAAAGCTGTCAGAAAGTACTAAGAAGAGTGGATAAAACATTCAAAAAATGAAAAGCAGTGGCAGAAGTGGGAACAATAATCACTGACAGGACTATCAGCTAGGTTAATGAATTGTCTTAAAATTTTCAGAACATTATTGTAAAAAATACTAAATTTTGTGTTAAGTTTCTAACAAATTTATTATTTGCAAAGCTAGGATGTGGCATTTGACTGCAGTCCTAATTTCAGTAAAATGACATAATTGAGTAAAATTACAGCTGTAAACAATTTTCCCTATACCACACCATGTTGAAGCTGATCTCCAATGAGTTAAGTCAAAGTTTCCTTGTAGCAAATGACAGCTAACATGGCATCCTCAAAACATTTGCTGCATGAACATATCCAATGCATGTTTCAAGATAAAAAAAAAACAACTTAGAGGTTGACAGAATATATACAGATATTGAAAGAAGTTGCTATTTCGGTTTCAAATAAAAATACAAAATATATTACATATAGTACTTACCGGTAAGATGGACGACGAGCTAGGATGCCTCGAGCTTTCTGTGAAGAGCCTATGCTATCTGACGAATCCTGAGAATCTTCACTCTCAGACAAAGATACCTAAAAAACACATTCCATATGGTTATCCGGTATGCTTCAGAAGAAATACCCAGAAGAGATTACACATTTTAATTGTATATGAGCTAAAGCTGCACAAAAACTACACTAATGCAAAAAAGAAAAGCTCAAGAGATTCTCCCAAACTACTTAGCACATTAAAAGCTGAAAAACGTCCACCATCTGAAGCTAGCTGTTCTAGCTGGATTAAACTGCAGGATTAATCAATCCAGAATGTTTAAAACAGCAGTGTGAAGAAATACAAATGGTTAATTATTTTCATAAAAATCATACAAGCCTAACCATTTTAATAGCTGATACAGTCTGAAAAGGTGAGCCACTCCCACACACAAATTTGTCTAAGGAGGTGGTGGGAAAGGAAACAGGAACACCATTTATGTACAGAGACAAACATATAAAATACTTAAAATCTTTTACATAGACAGAAGAGCAGTGTATTTTGTTGGTCAGAATATGAGTCAAATGAAAATAATATTTAAGGCAGCAGCATATCAGGGAGTAAATATGCAAAGTATTATCTATAGTTTTCTCTTTATTCCACTTTGTCCTCAACCAGTTGGCAAGTGTTATTTTTTTCTCTGATGCTCCTTATTAAATACAAGCTAACAAAACATTTATTTGTACTTATCTGTGTGCCAGCAACAAAAAGTCAAGAAGAATGCATGCAGCTCTGGGAAAAGCATTTCTCACTTGACTGCTGCTACAGAGACAAAAAGAGCAACCTACCTATCAACATTTAAAAAAAAAAGCTGCTCATGTATTACTTTTTCTTTCCCTTTGAGCAACAAGGCCATAATGTTCATAAATTGCAGAAAAAAAAAAAGGAAAGAATACAGTCAGTGGGGGCCTTGCAACTAGAACACGATGATAGGAAAGGGACTGACGGAGGAGACTCAAGTAACAACAACCTACTAAAACAGATGCTTAACTGTTTTCAGCAAAGTGATATGTGTTTTCTTTTCCGTGATCTGATGTTACAGGAACAATGACAGCTGAAAATGCATTATGAGTTTACTTTTCGTGGTTTATCAATTTAATGTCGTATGAATAGATAAGCACAGCACAAAGGATCAGTGCCAAATTAATGTGTTTTAGCAGAGTTCTTCCAGTCATTCGGCTGACTAGTGCAGTTATTTCACAGTGTAACTTCAATGCCATGCTGCCCAGAGGGCTCTCTGCGGCCAAGAACTGAATGAAGTAGTAACAGACTCAACTGTAAACTCCCCAGGGCACCACTCTGAAGTGGCTTGTACAAAAATCACATGGCAAATGAGTAAGAGACACAAGCAGAACACTTAGGTACCACAGAAATGGAGTTACAGCATACATGAGGTGAGCAATCAACAGCTCCTCCACCATCATTCAGGTCTACCTTTTCCAAACACACATTTTTCTTCATTGGGTTATTCTATACTCTCCTTATTTGTTGCATGTCTGTTAAGAGCACCAACTAAAGAGTTGTGGTTCTGTTTTGTTTGGTTTTTTTTATAAAGGCAGGCAATGTCAAAGAGTTTAATTTCAACTCCAAAGGTGACTTCAGCAGTACAAATAATTTCAAGCCCAAATAACCATTATGAACAATGTATCCCCAAAATACTGTCACTGGATTGCTCGCTATCTGTTACAGTGGGGCCAGAAAGGCTGCACTGTGGCAGAGTTAGCTGAGTCAGACAAGCCTTTGCAAGTCTTTTCACATACATAAAACAGGATTCTTGGTTATTTAACAGACGTTCTGCAGTTACCTGCACTGTTTGCACCTGAGGTGAGTGGATTACAGAAGAGGACTGAGCTGTCTGAATGACTCCCTGGACCTGGACTTGTTCTCCAGGAAGCTGAACAACTGTCAGGGGAGCAGGACCTCTTAGAGACATCTACAACAAATCAAAGAATCATTAACAAAAGCGTTTGTTCCACAGTATCCAGAAAGTGTATATACATGTAGAAAGACTAGCGGAGAACATGCATTAGCAGAAGCTTCTTTTAAGTCTAATTAAGTCACAGGAGGTATCCTTTAAAGATATAGATTTTTGAGATACATATCTGCATACAAAAAAGGCTGAAACAGTTACTTATTTGCCTTAGGTTAGGGGGAAAATCAAATATGTAGCATTATGTGCCAAAGACTAAAATGCTGCAACTTAAATACACGCAGTTCTAAATGAACCACAATGAAGCAGACTTCTTCAGAATCACAACATTGAGACTAAGTGAGCATGATTGCTTTCATGTCACTCCATCCATAGCACAGATAAAGCCCCACATTTGTGGCAGTTTATTTTTTTAAGTTTTGATTCCATTTTAAGAGTGCCTTAGACTTAGATGAGCAGAAATAAAAGTGCCCAATAAGTAGCCTTAATTCTCACTAAAGTTAACAGGAGTTTAGGGCACTGAAATCTACATCAAGATAAAATGATCAACGAGACTGAGGGCTTAGGACAGATTAGACTAACAGTACTAAAGCAATGCAGAAAGTAGCATGAATAATGTACATATTTGGTGTTCTTGGATTTTATTTTTTTTTAAGCAACTGGTATGAGGCCACAGTTCAAAGATTTCACAGAGAAGAAATCACAAGAGTTAAGTATAGCAAAAGCTGACCAATCTACTTAGAAAGTTCAAGGCACAAGGGCTGTACAAAAGACACTAGACCAGAACGGAAACTGAAGGAGACAAGGTATGCAAGCTCTGGACAAGGAAGAAGAACAAAGAGCAGATTTTTCCAAATAAAAATTACAGCATCTGTTCTTTAATGTTTTAAAATGACCAATTTCAATAAATGTTGCTGCTGGAATCTAGGTTTAATTGGCAAAAAGTTAATTACTACTGCTACTCTTATATAAAATACTTTTTAGATTCTAACAATTTGTATTCTTGATGTTGAACTCGCACGAGCCATTGCACTTAAAAATTGATTAAAGTTATACATGTAGATGCATAAGTAAATAACCAGTTTCCTCACCAAATTTCTTCACTACTTTTATTAATCTGGAATATATGAAAAGATGAAGGGATCATTAAAACTCATACAGCTAACTTTCCATTTAGTACTACTTTTCTATCGTACATCATAATATTAAGTTACATTGGCAACTTTATATAAAAACAGATAAGAAAAACAGCCTGTAAACAAACAACAGGATGCTTGCTGATAGTCTACCCTGTCTTTGCCTCATGCAGTTATCTACATTTTGCATCAATATCTACATCGCTTCCATAGGGTAAACAGTGGACGAGCTGCAAAACTTTGCTGTTTCACAGGATGGCTATGTGGCTGAGGGAGCAGACTTTACCTAGAAAGAGATGCTCTTTCAGATGCAGAAATTTGAATCATGAGGAAGTCAGGTTAAAGCTTTGAAAGTGATGTTACCTTGTAGTAAGTATGTAAAATTTCCAACTTGATATGATTTTTTACATTAAATACGTTCATTTGGGCTAAAATCCAAGTGTTTCCATGGTGCTGAGCACGCAGGATTGCCATCACTACAAAAGGAGCTGTAAATGCTTTTTCTGAAAAAAATTACAATTAGCCCCTCAATTCATTACTAAGCAGCTTCTGTATGTCAGGTTGATGATGATTTCAAAGGACGTACAATTTAACAAAAATGCGGGGCTGCATTTTTGCACTATACAAGCACAAAAATTAATTGTGGTCTTTCAAATACAAGCCATTTTATTAATTTTGCGTCATCCATCAACAAACAAGTACATTTTTCTCAAGCTTCTTTTGTTTTTTCTTCTCTGTGTTTCTAAAACTCAAGAATATAGTTTGTAGTACATAAAAAATGGCTCTTAACTACCTCAAATGTTTGCTGAGATTTGGCCCAGGCTTTACCTGTTGAGCAATATGAGAGAGCTGAGCTGCCTGTAGTGTTGTACCTTGTACAGCTGATGTTTGTGAAGGCGTCACTGAACTGTTACTGCTGCTCTTGTGCACCTCTTCCATAATCAACTACAAGAAAAGTAACGAGTTAAATTCAGTCAATGATAAATTTGAACAGCAGGTAGGTGCCCAGCTTCCACTGACACTTTATAGAATCTCAGTGCATAATGCTTTTAGTCTTATTTGGACGTTTTTGATTAGTTCTTTGTCCTTCGATGTCACCTTCTATTATGGAATAGCACAGCATTTTTTGTGACTTCCCCTACAATACCCCGAGCATTGTTATGCCTTCTCATGGGGACAAGAAGGGAAAGGCACGGTAGGAGCCTTTCCACTGACTCGCCCCGTGGCTTTCAGCAGGTCGGGCACAGCGCCTGGCACGCCGCCTCTCGAGGCCTGGGAGCCCAGAGCAGCACAAACCCCCATTTCGGAACGGGAGACGCGTCCCGTTTTGCCCTGACAACACCTGCACTCCAACCGTCTGTCAGCACCGGTTCAGACCTACCCGGTGCTGAAGTTGGCTGTCAAATGTATTTACTGATTTCCTGGGTTTTGCATAAAAATAAACAAAGTCAAGTCATGAGATCTAGGAAGAAAACCAAGATAAAGCATTTATACTAAAGAGTACCTTCCTCTAAGTAAAATAATTTTCCAAAATATTTTATCCAAGCTACCAGCCAAACCTATTTTAAAACATCTGGAGGTGTATAAAAACAAAACAGGGATTCAAAATCAAAGTAGAGAGAACACAGTTTTGAATTTTAAACCCTGCAAAAGTCACTCCGTCTCCATGTAATACAGTCAGTAACACTTCTCTCATTTCTAAGATTTTCTATTTAACTGTTCAACATCTTGACAGCATCCCCCCTCCAATATTGGGGGATTTAGTGATGTAAAAATGCATGCTTTTAGGTGGGGTGAGTGGGCGTACCAGCCTAGAGCATTAAAAGATGATCGGTGAGTGTTAAACATTTTGTCACAGAAGGTTTGAAACTGTTGAAAGGACAGTTGCTATGAGACTGGAAATTACATTTCTTTCTGTGGAAATGTGAGTCATTGATTTTTCCCTACTGAGATAAACCACAGCTCTTGCAGCCTGACGTATACTTAGAGGGTAAAAAGTCAATGTACACCAAGACCAGAATCTTGGTCTTGCAATCCTTACTCATCTGAGGAGTCCCACTGCAGAACTCCTCAAATAAGTTACTAAAACAGGACTTTGTGGAGAGAAAACTGATGGTTGGGTGATACATGAAACCATACCCTTTACGGCACGGAACAAATGTTCTCCAGCACGATACAGCTTCCCAACATACTTATGTCAATAAACATAAAACAATTTCTCCATAGTTTAAGCTGAAGCAGCAAAATGAAGGCTTCACTCTGGAATAAAAAGCTCACGGGAGCCAGGCAGTGCTTCAGCTGTTCCCAGCTTCTGGAAACCTTCAGCTAATCAAAACTCTTCCGACTGCCTTTGCTAAGATTATCACGTCACTGCTGCTGCTAATGCAACAGTGCTTTCCCCTCCGCATCGTCAGGAGTGTGAATTGGAGACAGGGATCCTGACTGACACCCAGCTCGACTTCACGCTGCTCATGCCTGCAAGAAACCAGCCCCAGTGCAGGAGTGGAGCGATGCAGTTTTAACATTTTCTTTTTTCAGTTGCTACTGCTGCAGAGCTCGCTTGAAAGTCGGAAAGACTGCTTTGGCTTTTTTTTTTTAAGGAAAATTGAGAACTAAAGTAATTCAAGTAACTTGAAGCTATAAAAAACGAAGAGCAGAATTAACGACAAGCATATACAACGGATGCAACTTTGTATACCCTCTAATGTAGTTTTAGCTTTTTATAAAGGAAGATCTACTTTTATACCCATGTAAAGGGAAATATACTAAGGGACACAAGTAAACAGGGCACTGTCAAACTGAAATCCAGTCAACAGCAAAAACTGAAATAAATTTCCAGTGCTACAGAAATACCCAATTCATTTCTGTAGTGCTAAACCACATTCTGTCTCCCGCTCTCTCTCTTACTGTTTTTCTCTGCCTTATTGCCCCATGAAATACTGACAACAGCAGTAAAATAGACTGCAAGAAACAATGAAACCGATAGGTATTACACCACCCAAAATAAACAAACCCGGGAGAAAGCACAAAGGTTTTTCTGATCTTTCTCTCATAGGTGTGAAGTCCTACTTACAGGAATAAAAGATAAAGTATTTCCCGTCATAAATATGATTTTTCAAGTTCACTTCATCTCTACTTGCTCTGCGATATTTAACTAAATATTCATCCAACATCTATGAATCTTAGTAAAATATTATTAATAAAAAAAGATTTAGCAAGGGATTTTAACAAAGTGAAAATTACCACCACATCTTATATCCTCCATGGGATAAAGGAGATGCAATACGCTATTTGGCCTTGCATGACTGTCTCACAAGAAGACCCGCATGCCTCTATCTTGTCAAAACAACTTATTTAGCTGGAAAAAAACAAATTTTCCATTGGAATGGCCTTCTGTGAGCACCTGAAACAGCGATTACCATCTAGCAGCTTTTAGAAAGGCAGTTCCAATGAAAAACCTCAACCTGCAAGTTCTCAAAGCTTTGAAAAGTACCACCAAAGATGGAAAATATATCAGGGTTTCAGCTTTTTACACCAGTTAAAACTACTTCCAACAACAGAATATATGCTTGGTTGAAACGAGCTGTATAGTTTGGGGTGAAGGAAGAGTTTTACACGTACTGACAGGAAGGAATTCATAAAAGCAACACCTGATGTTTTATTAGCCAGAAAATAATTACTGTTCCAATCTGTATGAAAACTATGTTTTTATAATCAGATAGGTAAGGATGATGCTTTTCAGAATAAAACCAATGCCTCCCCGCAGCTGCATCTCAAAAGTAATTTAATTTAAATGAAAGGATTCTACAATAGCAGCATTATGAAGT